TTGTTGCATTGTATTTACTTTTTCTTTTTAATAAATTTTTTAATTTTATCTATTAATTTTATATATTTAATTGTATTCTCCTATTAAAATAAAAATGTATGAATATTTTCTATACTTTTCAATGCTACTTTAATACTAACGGTTGGAACTTCTGTACTATCATCTATATCATCTAAATTTTCAATACCATCTCTATTTGATTTAAAAATATCTATAAATTCTGTAATTATTTGATCATTTTCAAGAACTTCATAAATGGTATCTTCTTCTGAAATAGTAAGAAATTCATTTACTTCCATTGCATTAGAAAGATAAAAAGCTTTAATTACATCATAAAGCTCGTCAAGTATTAGATTATCAGCTTCATCAATATCATTAGTATTATTAATATTATCCAAAAAAGAACTTTAGTATGATGCCAACAATTTTGAATTGTTTTAATTGTAACTTCATCTCAGCTTTGAATAATGTATCAGATTGTTTGTAAAACATTTATTTTTAAATCTCATATATCTTCATTAGCTTCAATTTGTTCTAATATTTAACTAAAATTAATATGATAATTAATATTTATTTTTTAATAAAATTTTTTTTAATAAAAAAATATTTAAAAATTACCAAATATGTAAATAACAATAATGTCTTTTAAAAGACATAATAATTCCTATATATATAGGTTATAATTTTGAAGTTATATTAGGAGATAAAAAATAAACTTCAACATGTGAAAGTATTAAACCTTGTAATTTATGACTTGAATAATTATCCAATAACAGTAAAACACATTGTTTATTATATTTATAAGCCATTAAATAATCAAACTCCTGAAGCCACTCTTGAAAAATATATGTAAACATTTATGTTTTAGGATTACTTCGATATGTCATCAGAAAGTTAGAAATATTATCATTTTTAAAATATTGTAGTTTAGCATATTTTCTAATAATTAAAGGAGGTAATTTGTGTGATCTATCGGCATTTGCACATAAAGAAATAAAAAGACGCTCCTTATTTTTTTATATTCAGAAAGACATTTTGTAGCTAAAGTCTGATCTGGTTCTAATCTATAAAAAATATTTATATTAATATAAATATAAAAAAAAATACATACTGATAAAAAAGACCTATTTCATCCATATTATAAATCTGTTCAAGAGAATATTTAGTACATTTACTATGCAATAATGGTAAAGCTTCGATAATAATAGTTTGATCAATAGATGCTGCTTCTCTTTGAAGCTTTCCTTGATAAATTCTATTACGTTTCTTAAAATCCTGAAGTTATCTGAAGGAAAATTTTAAGGTATCTTTGAGAATTTCTAATCTCTTTGCTAATAATTTTGCTTTTTCAATCAATAATGCATCACTTAAAATCGTTCGATGTTGATAATTTAGCACAAATTCTTTAAAAGCAAGTTCCAATTCAGAAAAAGTGACAGATTTATAACGCTTTTTTCTGGTTGAGCAAGTTCTGTAGTAAGTCATTTATTTTTACTTTGTAAAATTCATGTTATGATAGATTTATTAATTCTAACATTTCACTTTTTTTCAATCCAATTTATATATTTGGTTCATGTTTTCTTATTTTTATCAGCATATAAACAAAATTTATATTTTTGAGAGTTTGAAAGGATTACTTTTTTTTTTCTAAATGATATGAAAAAAAATTACATGATGTGATAGATTTTAAAATGAAAATTACGATAAGTATATTCTTAATATAGTATTGCAAATTAATTTAAACAAAAAAAAAGATTTTTTATTATAGAAATATGTGCAGCCTTTTTAAAAAAAAATAAATATAACAAATATTTGGCTTTATAGAATTATTAAAAAAAGTAGAGGTTTTTTTTACTTTTTAAAACTAAATTTCAAAAAATAAGTTTTTTTAACAGCCAAAATAAATATATAGCTAAAATATGGGAAGGGTAAAGAAAGATGGATATAATACAATGATACATCTATCAAAGAAATTAGTAAGAATATGAAAAAAAAATGTGGCTTTTTATTTGTAAGACAAATATCAATCGGTAAAGGTTTTATTATTGCAAAATCACATAATTATCACATGCATGCATTTAGATAATATATTTTAATATAGCCTGGATTGGAAAATCATTGCACAGTGTGAATAAAGAAGGTGTACATTTAGTATTATATTCTAAACTAGGGACTGAGACAAAGGGTGCATTTATAAAGGATGTGCATTTATAAAGAGTTGACTGTACCAAGTATTTCTATTGCTGCTGAAAAATTTCTAAATAATACTATTAATTTATTGATTATATTCTATTGATAATGATTGAGAAATAAACTTTCTAATAAAAGACCATTATTATAATAATCTTTAATTGACTCATTTTTAATATAGAAATTAGAAATTTAATTGCATTTTAAGATAATTAAGATAACATATTACTTTAAATGTTAAATTTCACCTTATATTTACATTTCTAATTGGTTCAACAATTCGATTAGATAATTGATTTTGATTTAAATCATTATCGAAATCAGTATTATTAAAAGATATTAGTTCTATTACTATAAATTTCTTGCATCTTTTGCGATGCTTATCTTTTTAAATTAAAAAATTATTAAGCTTTGAAATTTGTAAAAGGAGTTTATTAATTTTTTCTAGTCTTTTTTTAACTGATAAATTGTATGCACATCAAATATGTTTAACTTCATAATCCAATTCAATTAAATCTGACATAACTTTTACAATATTTGAAGCATTATCACTAATACCAGCAAAAATATGTTCTTTAAATCCTTAATGATCATGTTTTAACAAGTTTTTCTGCAATATTTAAACCAGTATGAAGATAAGGGATTTCTTCAATTGTTAAAAGAGCTTGCTAAAATTCAAAATTAGGTGAAATCTAATGAAGTGTAATTAATACCAATATATGGATGATAATAAACTGTTCATCCATCTGTTGTAAAATTTCTGAAACCATAATATCATGAAGTAGTTAAGCAAGTAATTGTTGCAATTCTTAAATATTATTAAAAATTAATCCTTTAAATTTTGAAATTGATGGTTGAATATATCTTTTATTTAATGTGAAATAAATTTGCGAAAGTTTTCATTAACAACTGTAGTAAATGGTTGTAAATCCCTAATCTTAATTTGTAACGAAAATGTGTTAAATTTTGATTTGTAAATCAGTTGCCAGTCATGTGTTATCAGTCAACAGTCATCAGTCACGACTCAGTCATAGATCAGTCGCAGCTCAGTCGCAGAGTCGACTCTACTTAATTTTTGCAGAGTCGACTCAGCCGCCGACTCTGACTCCAATGGCTGGTACTACTAGTCAAAACCTTAATAAAATCATATAAACTAACCTGTTGAAACCTGTCGAAACCTGCCAAACTATATTAAACAGTCGAAACTATATTAAGGACATTAAAAATCTGTCGAAACTAGAGGTTTAGACATTTCGACAAATCCAAAAAAAGGTTTCGTCAGGCAACTATATCTTGCATCACAAAAAATTCAACCCAAAACATAACTACAAGAAGATTAAATATGCCCACTGTAAACGAAGGATTGTTAACTGGATGATCTTGGCGCAATCTTCTTAAGAGGCTCATACGGCTAGACTACCAAGAAGTCACTGACATTACAACAAGATTTGGTTTCGTGAGAATACAGCACAACGTGTATCGTCACCGACTCTGGTTAGCTGTCTTTGCCATCATCTTTATAAGTAGATTACCTTGGGCAACCGGCAACTTTCAAGGCAACCCACATGTTAGAGAAATTCGTATCGCGATCTAAGGAATTCCGGCAATGATAATGACTTCGTTTGTAGAATTCCAATGGATCTTAAGTCTGACGGTTCCTTCCAATTGAGTAAGGACATCATGTATGAAATTTTGAAATTTCAAGTGTATCATCATTTTTAAATTATAATCAAATAATATAAAATCTTTTTCATTATAAGGTTTTCTCAAACTTTTCCGTGAAACATGCGAAATATTGATCGTTAAAGAGTGTCCGAAGGATTGGTGTAATAGTGTGATGCAAATAATATCGGGTCCATGATTGCTAGCTACTTCTATATTTCTAATTTATTAATACAATCTTGTTTGTAATTTTATATTCATTTTTATATTGAAAATTTTCAAGAATTTCTTTATTATTCAATTCGTAATTTTTCATGCTATAATAAATTGATAAATGATAACAATTATTAATATTATTAATAATAATCTATAGATATAAAAAAAATACAACCTTTAGTTTATTTCTTTGAGCAGTATGTACAAATTCTAGAGACAAAATAATTCAGAAACCAAAAAAAAAAACTTTGTAACTATCAGACCAATATCTACCAAATTGTTCATATATTTCATTATTAAAAGGTTTTCCATCAGTATTTAAAAATTCTAATTGCCTTCGATTTAATTATGACAGGTATGTTATGCTAAAATTTCCGGGAAATGTCAAATAAAATTTTCATGCCGAAATAATTTCTCCCGCCAGTTTCTCTCTTTCCACTTTCCGTTATTTTTGGGCAATAAAATTAATTTGAGTTTGAAATAAATTAAAAAGATTTAACAAACTTGAAAATTCTTTATTTGATTTAAATATTTCACATATTCACACAGTATTGTTCATACTCAATTTACATAATATTTTACTATATCAAGAAACATTTGTTGTAAAGATGTAAAGGTTCATCTATCGAATTCCTAAACGAATCATCATATATAATACCCCTTTAAATAGCAAAACATATAGGTTGTCATAAATCATATATTATATATTGCCCATAAAACACTTAATTTATATAATTAAAAAAAAAAAAAAAATTTTTTACAGATAATTTGTTACTTATAGAAATTTCTTAATAAGGAATTTAATTTATAAATCGATCAAATTGAGACGTAAAAAAAAATCATCGATGAACCAAAAGATCATCTTTTTATTATTCCGTATTACATAACATACATAACATACTGTAAATGGCTTTTTCTTAATAATATTTATCTTATTTCTGATGGGAATCCCATAAAGTAAAATCAAAGAATTCCGACATAAACGAATCTTCGGAGTTCGTTGAGCTTTCCTGCGAATTCTGTCTAGTCCGTCTAGATTCTTTGCTCACTTTCCGCGAAGGTTCAATAACAGGAAGCTTTTTAACTCTTCTAACTCTTGGTTTTGGGACATATTGATACTTTGGATACATTTCTTTATGCTTTTCAATACAAGCTAAGTAAAGGACTTGGAAGAATTGCTTAACTTCATTCGGCTGAATTTCCCATATAGTTTTAGCAGTTTTTGAATGTTCTGGCGATCGTAAATTTTTAGCGAATTCGGGAAATTCATTTTTTATCTTTGCCACCAAATCTTTTCTAAATAATATAAAGACATTTTGAGGACGAGGGGGGGTTTCAGAGGATTTTCTTTTAGCGGGTGCCAATAGTTCCTCTATCGAGAGGGTTAATTGATACGGTGGATTTGTCATCAACTCATCTATCAACGAATCGAGATTGTCAAGGGACAAACAAGTGGATGAAGAGGAAGAGGAAGAGGAAGTATAATCGAAATTGTTTTGAAAAACAAACTGCATACTACAATTATTATAATTATTATCATTTGACGTCTTTGGAGGTGGATATGGTCTTGTTAATGAAATCTGATAAGGCGCATTTGTATATTTAAAACGAGTCTGATGATTATTTTCATCATCATTATTATTGACAAATGATTTTTTTGTTGGAGGCATTTTTTACTAATGGTTTTATTTTTTAAAGGATTCAATAACCAAAATAATATTATATTCTTTTAATTGATGATTTTCAAAAAAAAAAAAAAAAAAAAAGAAGAAAAATATCATTCTTTATATAGCTTGAAATCCTAAATATCATAACTCTAAAGAGAATTAATCAATCGGAGTCAATCTCATTACAACTGTGGCTAATAATAGTCTTTTATTAATAATGAGTGGCTTGACAATTCTTTTGAGAAAGTTTTGAAACTCGGAAGGTGTGACAAGAATGATCATCTGCTCTTCATTTCCAATTTTAGCGACAATGGATAGTTTCGCGATTGATTTTTTTGTCAGAATATGAAAAAATCAAATATTCAGGTAATTAATAATTTGTAATTTTGAAAGTAATGAATAATAAAAATTTATGCAACTTGACAAATGACTTTATTTTGTTCGGATCATAAAAAAAAATCAAATGTTCTCATGCATGAGTTAATTATTTGTTCACTGAAACTGAATTAAATGATGGATAATCTCGTATCGTCATTGATGTTGTTAACTTGATATATATATCTTTCTGAGCGCATGCTTCGTATGAATGATTGGAACTTCATTTGTTCATTACCAAATCAACAACCCATAATTATTCGGAAAAAACCATCCGAAATAAATCACAACATTAATTAACGAATATCTTTAAATTCGCATTTATTCACAACATTACCGATTAATTAGGTTCAAAAGCCTTGTTCTTCAACTTTGGAGCCCCTTTCATCGGAGTTTGAGATCATACCATAAGTGTGTGGGATCACGTCACGTAATATGACATCAATATTGGAAATTAAAAAACCAACCATACTTTCTATATATGTATCACATAACATAAAGCCTTTTTGAATAGTCCGAACGCGCCAAAGATCTCACAAAATGGTTCAACTCTTTCTTAATCGCTGTTTCAGAAATACCCGAGCGGTCACTGCAGATCTCGAATTTTTGATTGGTCAGATATAACCAATGTAGATCCGCTGCGATGGTAATTGTTTGAAATTACCAAATAAAGAATCTACTTCAATACTAACAAGCACAGGGTTACAGCTCATTAAAACTTACAAGGAATTGAAAGGGATCGTATTGACACGGATATATTAGTCAAATGATTCTCTTTTCGATCAAAAATGTCCCTTAAAAAAAATTCATCTCTGGAAAACATTGTATTAACTTTTTAACACATCGATTTTGATTTGAAAAGAAATTCGAATCACACACGGGATTAAATTCTCCCTTAATTAATTGCTTGCATTATGCACACAACCTTTCAGGACTCATCCGTCCTTTGTGTTTCAAAAAAAATATTCAAAATATTTCAATTTTAACGAGATTGTGTGTTTCACGTCCTGATAAATAAATATTCTTACATAAGAGTTAATTATTGCATGATTCAAATATTATTATATTAGTATTTTAAGGAAAACAATACCAAAGACATCATAGATCAAACGATAGTTGTATTCCAAACTTTGATATAAAAAGAAAATAAGCGAAATTGGGCTGAAGATTAATTTTATAATACTCGATAAATTTGGATATCCGGAAAGTCATCGTGTTCTATGATAATTTATACCCCTCAATTGCTATAACTAAAAAAGAGATTAAGGCACCTTTTTGAAAAATAATTTTTTTTTTGTAACGCGGTTGGTTTTTTGATATTAGATCTACTGTACGCCGACCGCATTTGGTTAGCATGTAATTCTTTGAGCCGAGACAATGTCGTTTTATAACTAGCGAAATGATAGGTTCTTTTTCTTTTCATTTGGTCATTGAATTACAAGAATATATTGATATAATGTAAAATGAGCAATAAGTAACGAATGCATTAGGTATTCATGTGTCTCTTTTATCATCATCATAATACCTGAAAACAAAAATTTGTTCCAGTAAAATTGAAAATTGATTGGCATTGCATTAACCTTATTAGGCATGATTTTATTTTATAGTTAGACGAGACCGACCAATGTGGTTATTTGTCACGAACAACCACATTATATTAAACAATTGATTTTATGATGAAATTTGGCGCCAAACAGATTTTTCAAAAAAACTTTTAGTTCGAAATGTTGAAAAAGTCGAAATCTATCAATATGCTACGCCAAGTGCAATTTACTGAATTTGAATTCGATATTTTATTTGGAAGTAAAGATGATAGATAGACTTCTATAAATATTTGCATGTTATTAATAGACATTTTGATAGATAGATTATTTATGATAAATTTAATTAATATTTTATTATTTTCACGAGATTAAAATACTTTTTTATTTAATAAATCTTATTTTTATTATTATATACTTTATATATGTGACCTTATTTATTCGTTAACCTTAAATCAAAGCTATATAGATTATTTTACATGATCAAAGATATTAAATTTTATTATTTAAAATTTAATTCAAAAATCTATAAAAAAAATTAAAATTATATGATCCTATTCCATAAATCTGAGCTTGTTTCGATCAATTGAAACATATTTTAACATAAAAAAAATATCGTTCATATTTCCACAAAATTCGATTCAGTCAATAGATCTGAAATACTATTATCATCATTAAAAGATGAAGTAAGTGTAATCGGCATGATAATGGGCGTACATTGTTGCAGTTCAAGAGAATTCGCATCGAACTCGGAATAATAATTAGAGAAGGTTGGAAAAGCATCTTCAATCATATTCTGATCGCAAATGGTTGATTGAAGGTTCCAATTTTCATCGACAATGTTATCATCATTATTTATATAATACTTCAACTCGCCTAAATTAAACAAAGGATTTTGATTGATATCCGAATTTAAAGTTTCATTCTCGACAGATAATGGTTGATAATTATAAAAGGTTGAAGACTCTTCATAGGTAAGTATTGAAGTGACCGTCGAAAAATTTGAAAAATGAACATTTTGTGTGGATGAGGGAGTTTGAGGATTCCAGGATTCAGGTGACGAAGGAGGTGAAAGAGATGGTGAGGTTGAAATATGTTGAGGAGGTTCAGATTGTTTTAGTTGGTGAGATTGAATATCGATTTGTTTTGGTTGTTTTGGCGTGACAGATTCAGACGCGTTTTCGTTTGACGCTTCAACGTTAATGGTTGTTGAAGTGGTATTAACGGATTGTTTAATAGTTCCATCCTTAAAAATCCAATCCTTTAAAGTATTTTCTTTAGTAATAGGGATTTTCTTTTTAGGGGTATATTTATAGTCTGGATATAATATTTTATGTTGATCATGAGCCAGTCTTGATAGAATTTCAAAATAACGTTTAACCTTTGGGGATTGTTTCCTCCAAACTTTACCGGCATCAGTTGAAACATTTTTCATCTTTAATGACTTGTCAGGAAACCTCATGCGTTGATTGGCCTCATAATCTTTACGAAATAATACCCAAGCGTTTTGTGGTCTCGGAATCTTATCTTTTGATTTATTCTTATTTTTACGATTTTTCCTAGCGGATGATAACAAATCTCTTATCGAAAGGGTAAGTTGATATGGAGGAATTTGAATTAACGAATATTCTTCCTCATTGAGACGTTGTACGAGTATTTCATCGATTTGAAAGTACGGTGAGGGTGGTTCGGTAGATTGGATGATATCGGCGGGCATCATGTGGGAAGGAGAATGAATGACGGCGGGTGCGAGGATTGAAGTCGTAGAATTGGTGAGCGCAGAAATGTCGATGTTGAAGTTTGGAAATTTATCAGATTTGACCTTGGGCATTTTCTCGTTGACCTTTTTTTTCCTTTTTTTTTTTGTTTTGTATTCATCTAATCGAAAGGTATTGATGTGTTTAAATAATATTTCCCCCTCCCCCTTCCGACATTACTTCTAGAGTAATAAAATTTAGTTTCAAATGTATGGAGATTATCATTTCCGCATTTAGATCCTCTGAGACATGCATGATAATAAAGGGTATGAATAGGACAAAATGACAAGACATGTTTGTTTGAAAATTCAATTTAATCTCCGATAATATATTTATTAATTGTTCTGTTCATGCGAATTTAAATCAAAAATGATTTTTTTTTTGTCCAATTCCCCTAAAAAAACTCGGACCGACCCCCTTGATTTTAGTTTTTTTTTTTTTATTTTATTTTATTTTATAAAAATATGAACAATAAAAATCTATCATATGATAATAATAATAATAAAAATAATAAATAATTATTACTATTGTGTTTTTTTTTATAAACGGAGATGAACCTGCGCCACATCGACAGCGTTTCCAAAATTGAAATGAACAGAGCCATAAAACGTGGAGAAGTGAATTACATATAATTGAGTGCATAAAAATGTTTGTTTCATTTTTTAGGTTGAAACGTCAAAGGTTGATGAGATGATACTAAATCAGGGTAATCGTAACAAAGGTAACCAGTTTTTCATCCGGATTTCCCAAAAATCTCAAAAGGAAATGTAAAAGTTGACCAAAAATCAAATCAGAAAATCAAAAAAAAAAATGATTTATTAATTGTTTTTTTCATTTCATGTGGAACTTGCAGGGGATGACGCCAACTGATATAATGTATTTTAAAGCTAATTGAATAGAATAATTTCAAACAAATTTTTTTTTTATATTACGACCATCAAAAGATATTTGTGGCAATTTTTGTATCACCTTAATTGTTTCCGAGAATGGAAATTTGAAAAAATAAAAAGGGAATCTTTATGGTTCGCTTGTACCATCTAATAAAATGGGGGGGGGTTTTTTTTGAACCCTCAATTTTATGGATTATCATTTGTTTGTTAATGGGCATCCGACAAATCAACCTAAATCACTTTACTCCCTTAAAATATGATGGACATTTCTAACATTTTTGAAACGTAATTAAGTGATACAAAGCATAAAAATATTGAATGTCACGGAATTTAGGTCCGGAAAAAAACCTAAAAATTGAGACCAAAACGTTTTTGCTTGTTTCATTATTTTTTTCTCACGAACGCTAGTGTTATACATTACACACTTTATTCGAGAAATTAAGTGATATTAAAACAAAACGTGGGACACCGGAAATCACATCTTCAAGCATACCTCAACACTCCAAATTAGTCTTTATTCTTTGAACCGATTTTCAGCATGAATATTTATATTTCTTTTATTACAAAACTTTATAAGCGTATATCCAGGGCACATATTAAACAATTTTCTCTTTGTTAAACATTAATTTTTATAATCATAAATTCAAACTGGGAATATATTGGATTTTTTTTTAAAGCCGATCTTATTGAAAATGTAAAAAAAAAAAAAAATTTTTTTTTTTTAATAGCAAGGGTTTATAAAATACAAGATATTTTGATTTCATGACCACTTTAGCATTTAATTTCAAAATAATAATAATAATAATAATAAAGGGAAAAAAAAATTTATATATAAACAACTAGTAATGCGCGCATTATTAATAATAAAAAAAAACAGAGAAACAAAAAAAAATAAAAATAAAAAAACAAAAAGTAAAGATAAAGGAATAGAAAATAAAATGCCTAAAGCGAAATCCAACTCTCTTTTACCAAGTGCAAATTACCCACCCCCTTACCCTACCGCATTTCTTAACGCAATTGATACATCTCTCCCTCTTTCAAATTTTAGTACTTCATCTCAAATTCTTATTCCTATATTACCAGGCGTACCATACATCTTAACACTTACCTTGGAAGAATTACTCGTACCCAAACTAAACATTAGTGGAAAAATTCCTCGTCCGCAAAATGCCTGGATGTTATTTCGTAAGGATTTTACCGCTGGAACAAAATTTTTAACCAGGAATGATAACAAGAAGTTACGTATGCAAGATATTAGCACATTGGCTAGTCATTCTTGGAGACAACAACCTTCTGAAGTCAAGCAATTCTTTGAAATCTTACGTATGGCCGCCAAAGAAACTCATAACCTGTATTATCCGAATTATCAATATCGTCCTGAAAAAAAATTAAAGAAAAATACTCCAGTTGGTAAAGAAAATGAAAAACGGGAGAAAATGTTCAGAACTTTTACGGATCCCATGCAAGAGGAGAATTTCAGTGATTCCATGCCATAAAACAAAACATCATTCTTTCAAGGTTCTGAACTTTAAAACGATTCTTTAGAATTCTTTCATTGAAAGGGTGTCTTTTTTACGATTCATATTTCAATAGAGAATTTAAAACTTTATTATTTTTTTTTTTTTGAAAACTATATAATTAATATTAATAATACGTCTCAATATCTATAATATCTTTTTAATATAATTGTAACGTGATACGAAAGAAAATAAAATTATTTTTTTAAAATTTGTCATTGCGCCAATTTTTGTGTAATGTTCCAAGAACGCTTACACACTTCCACCCAAGGGTGTTCGTCATTCGTGTGACATATCACACATCCAATCAAACGAAAAAACCATTTTGGTAATAATAAAACATAAAAAAAAAAACTTGAAAATTTTTTTTGAGAGGTCTGGACCGCTCTTGGCCTTTTAATGACGAAAAGATGCATTTAGGAGTGCTGACATAAAGGGTTTCAGGTATTTTTATCATTTGGTAGCGTCATAAGACGACAAGAAAAATAAAGTTATTGATAAATTTCGAAAAGGTAAAACCGAAGGGTCAATGTTGAACCAATAATCTGAATCAATTCGATTTTGTTTGGCGCAGTATATCATTCTATGGAAATCTATTCTAATAAATTAGTGTAATAAGGAGTCATAATTTTAACATGCATCACACTATATGGTTTTTACTCATAATTACACATTCATCGACAGAAAATTCTTGTTCTTAATTTATATTTGTCCGAATGAGTTGGTCCGTTCGCCCGTACTTTACATACTTTGTCAATACTTACTATTACATCCATGCGCAACACAATTGTGTACACCAGTTTCTTTTTTATTTTTTATTTAAAAAAAAAATAGATTGAAAAGGGAAATAACGGAACAACCAATAAAAAAGTTTCTTTGGGTTGAATCCTCATCTAACCAAAACCTCTTTCACTATCATGCAAAAAAATTCTCCGATGACATATTGACAAACTGGCGCCAATTCTTGATAAAATAAATAAATAAATGAATAATCAATTAAAAAAGCATATAAATGACGATCAAAATTTTTATTTCCTTTTTTATTGATCGGTTAATTCATCCCGAAGCGAAATGAAATGAGTTGTGAATTTTATTTTTATAATATATAATATATATATAATTTTTTTATAAAAAGGCGCTTCCTCACCCCCCCCCCCCCCCCCTTCCTTTTTTTTTTTTTTTCTTTAGCATAATTTGCTTGAACAGAAATTCCTATTCTTTCGTAAAATAAAAAATAAATAAACAACAAAAAAAAAATGCCTAAATCAAAATCAAGTTATATTAACGATAAATCATTTATAATTTACCCTTCGCTCAAATCTTCAATGACTTTCACAAATTCGCAAAATTCTTCGTTTCAAAATTTAATGTCCTACCATTTATCCTCTGTCGCAGCAGAGCCTCCATATAAACTAACCTTATCCCTTCACGACTTACTCACTCCTAAATTAAAATCGAATGGAACACCGGCAAGACTACAGAACGCATACTCGTTATTTCTAAAGGATTACACCGCAAAAGTCAAGCAACAGGGCCCTAATCAAGGTCAAAAATTAACAAGAAAGGAAATTCGATACCATGCTAACAAAGCATGGAATTCACAACCTTCACAAGTTACTCGATTTTTTGAGATTCTATCGATGAACGCTAAGGAAATTCATGAGTCTCTTTATCCCGATCATAAATATCGCCCAACCAGAAAATATGGCAAGAAAATAAAAAGAACGAATGACGAAAATAAAAAGGAATTAAGGCCTAACCACACGATAAATAATACGATAAATCTACCAACATCTGATGTACTCCATGCAAGCGTTGATTATTCGTTTCCGAATCTTGATGTCGATTTTGAATTATATGAACCCAAGGAAGAAGAAATATATTTCTCGTTATTTCCAACGTCACTAGATAATTTATAAGGAACAAACGTATTAAGTTTAAATTAAGATTGTACTATAGAATTTAAGATTTCTTTTTTTTTTAAAAAAAAAATTTATAAAATTTGTATTTAAATGTTGCACATTTATACATTTCTATTTATTAAAAAAAATAAAACAATGAAATTAATTTTAATATTAATGTTTTTAATTATTCTTTTCGCATGCCAAAGTCGTCGCCGGCAAAAGTATGTTTATTTGATAAACAAAAAAACAACCTTGATAATCTCCAAGCAGTTTTTTTTTTAATAAAATAATAATAAAAAAATTTGTAAGCATGCTTAAAGACAATCATTCAATACATAATGGTGTGGTGTGTACATCATTGAATATGCACAGTTGATGTTTTTCATATGAATTTCATCAAAATCAGTAACCTTATATATAAAGCTTCTTTCGTTCTATCTTTTTTTTTTTTTTTTTTTTTTTTCTCAAAGAATTAATCTTTGAATTATAAATGATAGTTCGTGTTTTTTTTAACAAAATTTTTTTTATTTGTTTTAAAATTTTTATTTTTAACACTTGTTTGCGTAATAGAATATTATTTTTAATCGTATAACCGTAATAGTATCTGCGGTTATTTTTTGGATACTACATGTTTCTTCTCCATGGATTCAAGTAATTGAAAATCAAGTTATATTTTGAGCCGATATTTTTTATAAAAATTTATTTTTTAAATATTTCTGTAGATGTTGAGACGCAAAAAGACACCAGCAGAGATACTAAGGAATGAGTTACATCATGCCAAAACATATACTGAATGGTGTAAAAAATCGCAGGCATTAGACGAGTAATAATATTCAATTAATCAAATTCAAATTTTTATTTCTCACAAAAATGCATTAAAATATATTAAAAAAAAATTTTTTTTTTTTTAATATATATATATATATATATATAGTCTTTTAGGTAAATAAAATTTATTCAACTTTTTTTTTTTCTTTTAGAACTCTGAATAATCTTTTTTTTTTGCTTTAGCAAACGATGAATGGAAACAAGATCCAGCATCACCATATTATGATTATATGATGATCAAAAAAAGGTTGGAACACCTTAAAGGAGTTCGCGAAAGCAATGACGTTTTATCAATGATTTATATACTAAGGTCAGGTCTATTGCGAAATTTGGGAGGTATAAATGATCCAAGATTATTTTGTAAATCATATCTGGGAACCAAAAAATTAATACAAGATTATACGCAAGAAATCGTAAAACAATTAGATGATATAGGAGAAAAAGATTTTACAGATCTTCCACAATATTCAAAATTGGAATTCTTTAATGACACTCGTCAATCATTTGGATGCACTGCTTTGGTATTATATGGAGGAGCGACATTCGGTTTATTTCATTTAGGTGTCGTCAAAGCGTTAAATACGCATGGTTTATTACCCAGAATCATTAGCGGTACCGCTATTGGAGCTTTGATTGCTGCTTTGGTTTGTATCAGGACTGATGAAGATTTACCAAGTATTTTTGAAGAAGGTGGTGTGGATTTAGGTGCCTTTTCAAAAAAAGGAAGTAAAGGAAACATCAAAAGGAAAATAAGTAGATTTTTAAAACACGGTAAGGGAAAAAAAGATTTGGGAAAGGACAAAGTTTCTATGTCTCGACTCGATTCTCATGGTGATGCATTTAAATTTATAGGTTATTTCATGGACATCAAAGTACTGGAAGAGTGTGTTCGAACTAACGTTGGGGACCTCACATTCGAGGTAACCTATTCTAAAAGAATATCATTTCTTTCTTGAGAGAGAGTTAAAATTAATTCACCCTCCTCTTATATTTTCTATAGGAAGCATATTTAAAAACGAAAAGAATATTAAACATCACGGTCTCATCAACTAGAAAATTCGAAGTTCCTCAACTTCTCAACTATTTGACCGCACCCAATGTATTGATACGAAGCGCGGCTTGTGCTTCTACTGCCATAATGGGATTGTATGATAGTGTTGATTTGTTGGCTAAGGATAAAGCTGGAAACATCGCACCTTGGGCCCCAACTGAAATTAAATGGAGAAAGTGGACTGATGCTGTTCCAACTGAAAGTGAATCTCCATTAACAAGAATTTCGGAATTATTCAATGTCAACCATTTCATCGTTTCTCAAGCAAACCCATATATCGCTCCTTTCATGGCAAAAGAACAATTTGGTAGTAACACACTGATTAAGTGTGGTCTCCTATTATCATCCGAATTCAGGCACAGAATCAATCAACTTAAACACATGCGTCTTCTTCCAAGAATGTTTCGAGGTTTTGTTGATGAAAAAGTTTCGGGAAATGTTACAATTGTTCCCTATCTATCTTTTTCAGTAAGTTGTCTTATTTTTTTTTTTGTTTTTTGTTTGAAAGAACAATTTGATGACAAAAAAATTATTTTATTTTTTTCTCTCTCTTTAGGATTTTAAAACTCTTTTGTCTAACCCAACTCACTCATCTTTGGATTATTGGATTCTGAAAGGAGAACAATCTACTTGGCCTATGTTGGCTTTGATAAGAAATAGATGTGAAATTGAACTGGCTCTTGACAGAAGTGAGCAATATAGAATATTAAATTTATTTATCACACTACATTATTTTTTTTAACCTGAATTTTCATTGTCACAGTCCATTTGAAATTGAAAGCAACCCCGATCGAACGCGGATATTCTATATATCCAAATGCTAACAAAGAGAAAGACAATGGAAGAAAACGTACTAAATCTATACACTAGAATCAAAAGTCAATAAATTAATACATTAAAATAAACGTGATGAATTATCAGAAGTGCAAAAATAAAATAAATAAATAAATAAATTACTTGTGTTCACTCCAAAATTGATTTCAAATGTCTCTTTTTATTCAATTTATCTAATGCCTTTTCAATTTTAACTTCCACCTTTTCTCTAATAATCAATGCTCGTTTAATTCCCTTTTCTTGCCTTTTCTTGGCTTTTGTCCGAAGTATTTTTTGTTTATTTTTGATCTTGTGAAGTAATTTATCGGCACCTTGCTTAGTGCGTAGTTGCGTTGCGATTACCGCATGTGGACCGATGGATTTATCTAAGTAAATGTTGATTTAGTTTTTAATTAATTGAAACTTTATTCTATGCCGAATAAAAATAAACTTACTTTCTGGTGAAGAGAGAGACGACTTGTCATTGTCAACGTTTGCAGGTTTTGAAATTGACGACGTAGGTTCGTTATCAATTTGCATTCTATTTCGCTCTATACATATCGTAAAAAAATGAAAAAAAAAGGATTTTTATTCGTATAAAAGGCGTAAAGAAACAAAGTTGTGTAAAATATTAGATACGTACTCGGTTTACCCATGATCTTATAAGAAAGTGTTTTTTATTCAAATTTTTTTGATAAATAAAATATAAATAACGTTTTCAATAGCCAATCAAATTTGACTGGAATCAAAACAAATTGATTGGAGAACCCCTATTCATGGTCTGATCCGAACATGATTGATTTTGAACAACGAAAAGCATTAACGTGATGATTTAAAGGATAAAAAAAAATTTTGAACTTGAATTTCAATCCACCATGTAAAAATAACATTTTATGTTTCATATTGTATATTGTAAATATCGTCTGGACTTATCAGACTCAACATCTGCAACGAATTTGCAATATAAACATAAAGCCGCTTGATCTAGATATATTTATTCTTGCCAATGAACGAAGTTCGTGGTTCTTTCGAAAATCTCAGATCCAAAAATAATTGATCAGATTATAGATATTATCAGATAATCACATTGATCAAAATCTACAAATAAAACAAATAAAACTGAAGTAAACCACAACGAAAACGCCCTAATCCTTACGCCGTTTCGTTTTATTCTATTCTCCTCACTACCTACCTATTCTAAACACGATCGTGACCTAAAGAAAAAAAATGGTATACTTGTCTTTTACTCTTTTTCCATTTCGAATTTCAAAGTGTTAAAAATTAACGTTAGCTCGTTACTTAAACTTTTGTTTGATTCAAACTCTAGGCTGGAGCACTGGATAACGCGAAAAATAGCTTACCAAAAATAAGAGATGCCGAAAGAGAAAGCGATTTCGGTTATGTTTTCGCTGTTTCTGGTCCAGGTAAAATCATACATTTTTAAAACTTTTTTTTTTTGTTTTTGAAGTCCGATCTACCTAACATTTCTTTACAAATTTTTTTCCTTTTCAACTTTAGTCGTGGTCGCAGAACAAATGAATGGATCTGCCATGTACGAATTAGTATGTACCAACATCACTTTTTATTTCTTTTATCTGGTCGTATTCTTTTTTTAATCCACTTATTTCATTTAAGGTAAGAGTTGGTCATGAAGAACTTGTTGGTGAAGTCATTCGTATTGATAGTGATAAAGCAACGATTCAAGTTTACGAAGAAACTTGTAAGTTTTTTTTTTATTATTGAAATTCTTTGATGATTTCTATATTGATCTTTAATACATTTAAAATTATTATTATAGCTGGTTTAACTGTTGGGGATCCGGTATTAAAAACAGGAAAACCTCTTTCCGTCGAATTGGGACCTGGTATGTTTTCATGTTTTTTGAAGAATATTATAATCGAAATTAAATCTTTATACGTTTTTTGTAGGGTTGATGTCCAACATTTATGACGGAATCCAACGTCCACTTAGAGTGTGTTATAATATTATAATAATTTGTAATTTATTTGTTTATCGTTTTTTTTGCGTTTAATCCTAAAGTTCTCTTCAATTGATGTAGGCTATTCGGGAAATTTCTGACAGTATTTATATTCCACGTGGTATCTCAACCCCTGCGTTAGACAAAAAAATCAAATGGGATTTTAATCCAATTAACTTTAAAGTATGTAATTTGCCTTTAAATCGCATAAAAAATCATTATTTTGTGGTCGATTTTAATAAACGGTTTAAAAAAATTCTCAGATTGGTGATCATATTACTGGTGGTGATATATATGGCAAAGTTTTCGAAAATTCCTTATTGAATGATCATAGTATAATGTTACCACCAAAGGCTCTCGGTACAATCACGGATATTGCCGAAAAAGGTTCATATTCTTTGGAGGTACGTTGATTAAGATGTGACTATACAAGTAAGAGTAATTAAAATTCTGACGTGTTCCCTTAATTGAATTAGGATATCATACTTGAAACCGAATTCGAAGGACAAAAATCCAAGCATACTTTGTTGCAACTTTGGCCTGTTCGATCGCCTCGTCCTGTCACAGAGAAATTGGCAGCTAACTACCCATTATTGACTGGTCAACGCGTTTTGGACGCTCTTTTCCCGTAAGGCTTACTATATTTAAATCCAAAAACGCCTATTTGATCTTTACTCATTTTGATTATACGAAATTTAGTTGCGTTCAGGGCGGCACCACCGCTATTCCTGGAGCTTTCGGTTGTGGTAAAACAGTTATTTCACAATCTTTATCAAAATATTCTAATTCCGATATTATTATATACGTCGGTTGTAAGTTGATCATATTTTATTGTAATGATTTTATATAAAACGTATTATGATTTTTAAAAAGTATATATCAATTAAAATTTTAGGCGGAGAACGTGGAAACGAAATGGCCGAAGTATTAATGGATTTTCCTGAAGTTAGTTAAAGTGCCAAACTTATTATTATTTTCATTGGTGATTTAGATTTACCCTTTCGATAACTACTAATATTTAGCGTTCTCTCCTTTAGCTTAGTATTAATGTTGATGGTCGTCAAGAATCTATTATGAAACGCACAACATTGGTAGCCAATACTTCCAATATGCCTGTCGCTGCTCGTGAAGCTTCTATCTATACCGGTGAGTTTAATTTAATACAAAAGATTATATATAATTATCTGCTGACTAAAAAATCTTTATCAATTTTACCAGGTATTACATTATCTGAATATTTCCGTGATCAAGGCAAAAATGTTGCTATGATGGCGGATTCAACTTCTCGTTGGGCCGAAGCTCTTCGTGAAATTTCCGGTCGTTTGGCTGAAATGCCAGCAGGTAAGTTAAATCTGACTTACAATTCTACTTCTCTTTATCATATATCTGTTAGTAATATATATTTTTCTTTTATTTCACAGATAGTGGTTATCCTGCTTACTTGGGCGCTCGTTTAGCCTCTTTCTATGAACGTGCTGGTAAAGTAACTTGTCTAGGAAATCCAAAACGTGACGGAAGTGTTACCGTCGTTGGAGCGTATCCTTTAATATCAAAATTGTTGCTCGAGTTACCTGTTAATATTCATATTGTTATCCTTAATTGAATGTTTGTTATTACAGTGTGTCACCACCCGGCGGTGACTTTTCTGATCCTGTGACGTCAGCCACTCTTGGTATTGTTCAAGTATTTTGGGGTTTAGATAAGAAATTAGCACAACGCAAGCATTTCCCTTCTGTCAATTGGTCTTTAAGTTACTCAAAATATATGAAAGTTTTGGAACCTTTCTATGAATCGACCGAACCAGATTTTATCTCTATCAGAGATAAAACTAAAGAAATCCTTCAAAAAGAAGAAGATTTGTCTGAAATTGTCCAGCTTGTCGGAAAGGTATGAATGAGATAAATTTTTATATATACAATTATATGAACATTCTTTAAAATTTATTTACTATCTTAATCTAGAGTGCACTTGGTGAGGCTGATAAAATCACTTTGGAAATTGCGAGAATCATAAAGGATGATTTCTTACAACAAAATGGTTACTCAAGTTATGATCGTTATTGTCCATTTTATAAGGTAATTTATATTGATTTTTATTATTCACATTTAATTTCTTTGAACTAAAAATTTTAATTTTTTTTTTTTCTCGTCAGACTAATTGGTTACTTAAGAACATGATTGGGTTTTATAATGCTGCTACTCACGCCGTTGAAGTTACTAATAACGAAATAACGTGGGCTAAAATCAGAGATAATATGGGTGATCTTATGTATAAACTTAGTTCTATGAAATTTGAAGTAGGTTTTTTATTTTTTTATGTTTTTTAAAAAGAAAGTAACTTTCTAACGTTCTGTGAAAATTAATTTCATAAGGACCCATCTGAAAGTGAGGAAGTTCTGCGAGAACGTTATCAACAATTGCATACAGAAATTCAAGAAAGGTTTCGACAATTACTTGAATAAGGAGGAGGAAATTGGGCATTTATAAGATTTCATGGGTTAATTATTTACTTAGTTATTTATTTAGAATCCTATTAATAATTTCATCTTTTGAGTCATAAGTTGCATCTATTATTCTTATTCTTTTATGTATTATTAGCATCAAATATACTATCTTTATATAATGAGATTTGATTAAATTATTCTCCTTAAATAAATCTTTTCTAATTAATGATTTTTTATATATATATGTATGAAATTGGATTAATTATTTTAATTAAAATTCTATTATTATAATTTAATTTAATCTAAAGTGATATCCTTGATTCTTAAATCATCTTTTGCTATTTGAATTTCCTAAATATAAAAGATCATATTAAAAAACGAGAAAATCCTATGAGATATATATATATATATATATATAAATTACCGCCATTAATTCACGATAAGCATCTTCACAATCTCTGAATCTATAAACATGATATCCAATATTTCCAAGTGAATAAGCTCCAAAAGTAACAAGCGCCCACCAAGGAAGCTAAGAGAAAAAAATTTAATAATGATACCTCATAATGTATATAAATATATCATCACACCACTCTTACCACAGGCAAAACATCATCTTGTACTATTTCAGGAAGAGGGATTATTTTAAATAAAAAAATGAAGTAAAATGTAAAAATGATACCAAGAAAACTTGCAGTTTGCGTTGCTTTTGTCATTTTTATTTTTTTTTTATTTTTATTTTTTAGAAAATAATTGTCAAATTTATATAAATCTTATTGTTACACGATCTTACAAATTTTCATAGTAGGGTCATTTGGGGCCCCGATCGTCTGAAACGTTACACATACTTGTTTTTGATCGAATTAAACTATATAAAGAGTTTTGAATGTTTGTTGATAGAAAGTTTTTCCATAAAATACTTTTATCTTTCAAATAATGGAATTTTATCAAGGATTATCACTTGATTTTAGCCATCTATTGGACGAGTCTGACGACTATGACGTTATCATTTATGCTGGTAAAGAACCAAATGTCAAGAAATTCCACGCGCACACGGTTATCTTGCGTGCGAGATCCCCTTACTTTCGTAGAGCCTTATCAAGAGATTGGGCTAGAAAAGAAAACGGCTCAATTGTATTTCAAAAGCCAAACATAGCACATGAAGTGTTTGACGTCATTCTGAAGTTAGTATAATTGTTCTGAAAAGTTTTCACACATCTATAGTATATTCATTTATATACTTTCCTTTATAGATACATTTATAGTGGCACCGCAGATTTACTTGTACAAGAAGGTGGTATTATTCTCAACCTTTTAACCGCCTCCGACGAATTAAATCTTCAAGAATTGATCGTTTATGCGCAAGATCATCTTATTCAACAAAAATCTGACTGGTTGCAAGAAAATGTGATACAAGTTTTGCATACTGTTGGATATTTAGAAGCCTGTAAAGATTTACAAAATTTTTGTTTGGGTTTGATTTGTCAAGATCCGTATTGGCTATTTGAATCAAATAATTTTTGTTCATTGGACGAATCTGTTCTTGTACCTCTTTTAAAACGCGATGACCTCTTAATGGAAGAAATTGAAATTTGGGACCACTTAATCGAGTGGGGAATCGCTCAAAATATATCATTAAATGAAAATATTTCAACCTGGACTTCTCAAAATTTTGAAACATTGAAGGGTACGCTAGAACATTGTATACCTTTAATTAGGTATTTTAATATTGATTCTAGTGACTATTGGGATAAATTGAGACCTTTTAGACAGATTTTACCAAGTAAATTACATGAAGATCTTTTGCAATATTATTGTAAGCGAGGCAATATTAGTCAAACGGATACACCTATATTATCACCAAGGAAGGCTGGTATTCAATCAAACATTATAAAGTTCAAACATATTTCCTTAATAACGAAATGGATTGACAGAAAGGAAGGGAGTGAAAATACTTTGGAAAAGTCTCAATATAATTTCAATAGAATTCTTTGTGGTTCAGATGACGGTTTTACCGCCGCTAATTTTCATAAAAAATGTGATGGCCGAGGTCCAACTTTGATTATAATTAAAGTGAAAGAATCCGGAGAGATCATTGGGGGATATAATCCAATAAGTTGGAGAGGATCAAATAATCCAGATAGTAGTTGGTCTGCTCCAACAACATGGACTGTTTCACAACGTAGTCGTACTTCTTCTTTCGGTAGTTTTTCAAGGTCTACTGCTTACGAATTAGGACCTTATCAAAATACTCCCAATAGTTTTATATTTTCGTTAGGTGATGGGAAAGGTCTCTTGAATGCTAAAATTAGTCGTATTCTTCAAGATAATACGTCTGCTGCTGTTTTTTCATCTCCGCGACACGGTCCTTGCTTTGGTCAAACAGATTTACGAATGAATGATAATTTTAATGAGGCCGAAACTTGTACATGTCAATGTTATGATTATGAAAGTGAAATAACTGAAAATCACAATTTTTCTGTTGAAGAATATGAAGTATTTCAGGTTATAAATAAAGATGGACCAGAATCTTCAAATCAGGCTTCAACCTCACAGATGCTTCCACCCGAACTTACAAATTATCCTTCTGTTTCTGCTTGGTAAGGAAAAAAAAAAGAAATTTTTAAATTTACAATTTTCAATCAATTTTTTAATCATATCCATTCGTTTTATTATTTATTTTTGATATATTCAGGGGAGAATTAATGCATTTTTGAAACTATAATTTATTTAGTCATTATAATTTGCTGAAATTATTAATGCCTGATTTTTATACAATATAATGGTATATACATGTATGTAAAATAATGAATGATTCGGATTTGTAAAAAAATTTTTGTTTTTGCTTTACATAAATTTTTAAAAGAAATTTATATAAAAATATATTTATAAAAAAAAAAAAATTTTTTTTCCTTAAAAAGGTTGTTTGTTTTTTTTTAAAGTTTATTATATTAATTATTTTAAAAAAAAATACCTATTTTTCTTAACGTTAATTCTAAAAAATATAATTATTATGGATTTTTCTAAATCAAATATTTGATTAAATAATTAAATCATAAATCAAAATTGATAAATACATATTTAAAGTCTATAAAACAACTTTTAATTAAAATATATTTTAAAAACTGATTTTATTACATAAATAATAATAATTTAACTTTATATTTAAATATTACTAATAAAATTTATAATTATTAAAATCTTGATTTTATAAATTAATAACATTTTTTTTTAAATTCATAGATTTTAATATAACTTATAGGGTAATACTATTTGGCGACCCTGTCGCCATGGCGACCCTATCACGTGATTCGAGTTTGATTGGACAGAATATAATATTTTTTTTTTATAATATCGTTAGTAGGTATCAAAATTTAACAGCAAAATTTTATTTATCTTAATGTATTTAA